TGATTATCAGCTTTGGACTCTTTTTTTTGCATAAACTCACACTGTGGAGGAATCGTGATCTTTTAGCCCTGCCTGCGTAGAATTAGGGTTCCGGCTCCAGTTATATTAATATCGGCCTCAGGACTGAGGGGCCCAGCAAGTGGAATGTGGCCCCCAACCCCCCGAGAAAACATACTTGCTTTAAGCCGAGTTGGGAGGATGTGCAGTCCTGAGCCTCCATTCCATGTAATAATTATTTAAGACTTACTTGGACATGAGTGTTGTTGGGTTTTTTCCCCTTAAATATGTCTAAGATCTGAGGTCTTCCTTTGGGGCCATTCGGGGCAGAAGCTCCTCGGTGAAGCCTGTGACGTGCTCTGTGTGAGCTCGACACCGAGTTCCCTCTGTGGGATGGTGGTTGGGGCGGGGCCGTCAGAGCGGCTGGCTTCTGACCCTTCCCCCTTTGGGTCCTCCAGTACCCTCCACCCCTGATTCCTCCCCGGGGAGAAGTGAATGCGGCCGACGCCTTCGACATCGGCTCCTTTGACGAAGAGGACACCAGAGGCATCAAGGTGCTCGCATGCTGTTGGCCCTCAATGTTGTCGGAGGGCGCGGGGGAGTTTCTCATCGGAAATCAAACGCTGTGGTTGTCTCAGTGTTGGCCCGCCCGTGGGATGTAACTTACAAAGGGCCATCTGCACATTTGCAGAATGTAGAAGACTAGGACCTAAACGAGTGAGAAACTGAAAGCTTTTTTGGGGATAATCACTCTGTTTGGTCAACTGCAAAATGGTCAGATTTTGACTGACCTGGGTAGATTGGCGATTGAAATAAAATTCCAGTTTGTAGGAAGCAGGAAAAACAACCGTGTGAAAGCAAACCTGCTTCTCGTGCCCCAGAGCCAGTCGTATTGAATTAGAGTAGAGTTACAGTCAGCATTCGACATGATTCTCCTAAGCCTCAGATCTCTCTGTCGGGGTGAAAGGCGCAAACCGCGTGCATCGAGTTGCATTTGTCAATCAAAAGTGAAGTAGTCACTGTTGTTTAAATATAATCCTCTGCATTTTTCAAACTTTGGCTCGTATCACTATTTTCCCATAGACAGGATATCATTACGGATGGTGAGTCATGAGAGAAAATCACCCTCTTTGGGGTGCAGAGTCACTGCACGTCAGGCTCCCTCCAGCCCCCACTGCCATCCCAGGACCACTCCTCCCTCCTGGATGCTCCTGGTCTCCTCTCAGTTGCCTGCTTTTATACCCTTCTTATCTAGCCCCCCCCCCCCCCCCCCATTTTTCCTACCTGGGAACTCCGCCTCCTGAAGGCCAGGGCACTGGTAACACACACACGCCTGCGAGGGATACATAAAAACACTGCCACATGCAAAGCCCGGGCCCCGGAGGGGGTGTGCCCCGAGACACAGAATGGATCCCATGGGATTGGGGGCAGAGAAAGGGGGGGGAAGGGGCTGGGGGAAACATGATGGGGGTTGGGCAGGGGA